TGTCTTCTAGCCTACTGCCTCTCCTACTGGGTTCGAATGCCCGGTCTGGGGCCCTCTTGGCAGAGGTGTCCCCACAAGTGCCAGAAACAGAAATATGCAGATGGCACGCTATCCATAAAGGAACGATATTGACCTGGAGGCTCTGTTCTGATCCACGGGTTGAAGTGCTTTTATGAAGAAGGGGTAGGGGAAGGCGCCCACTGCCCACTTGGTCATTCGACCCCCTGCGTGGAAGCTGTACTGGATGTATTGAGGAGTGCTGTACAGTGGCAGTGCCCGAGGGGAGGAGCTGCAGGAGTTTGAGATAATGTAGTAACATAGGTTGGGTGGAGACTGTAGCAAACTAGACACCATGTGTTGTGTCCAAGCAGGGCAGCTGCTCACCTCCGTGGACGGTGGCCACGTGAGAAGGCAGGCCCAGAATTGCCAGGGGCTCTAGTTTTCATGAGAAGCTAGAAACCTGTTTTTATTTTTTATTCAAATACTTCAACTTTTAAATGTTATTGGAAAAGGGATGAATACATTAAAAAATCACACATATGCATGGTCTGTGTGTATACATACAACCGTACACACACATTGCCTGGGGGGAGGAAACCTGATAGTAGCACAAAGACAGAGCTAGACTTCTTTGAATATTTTTTGTTTTGTAGATTTGCCTTTGGTACCACATAAATAGTTTAGAGATCTATAAAACAAAATTGGACTTTAAAAAAGCAGTCATGGAAAATTAAGAGGGAAAAAAAATGAAACAGTTGAACCTCACTGCGTGTCAGGCTAGTGGCCTAACCACACAGAAAGGAATTATTTCAAGTGACTTTGAAACTGAGCAGTTTGACTGTATTTTCCTAATAGGATACACTTTAAAGATTTTAAAAATTGACATATTTTAAGTAGTTTTTATTAAAATAATCTTAATATGGCAGTGGTATTGGTATTATGAACTGTTATGTATGTGTCGTAGGTTAAATCAATTAAGTAACCATGTTGGTGTTATTAAGAACAGCAGTTTTGAAGGAAAAGTAGTAACACTGTAAAATCCATGAGGTCTAATGGAAATCTTTAAGTCCGGCATTTGAATTAAAGTTTCATGTAAAATCAAGGTGTATTTTAGTAAAACAAAACAAAACTTATCTTCTAGCTCTGTACACAGACACAAAGGCTAATCCAGTAGCAATGAGCACCCAAAGCTCCCAGCTTGTGGTCTCTAAATGCCAGTTTTCACTAAGATAAACTAGGGCTTCTTACTAGAAATTACGGATTCCAGGCCTGGTGCAAAACTATACAAAATAACCCTGGAATATCTTATGCCAGAAGCAAGGGGGCCATCAGATACCACCAGACTGTATTAAAAGGACTCAGGAGTCAACATGAAGAGACTTTCCTGACCAGAGGTAGGATAGTTAGATCATAGGAATAATAACTGTGCTGGAATGAAACAAATCAAAATGTTCATAGTGATATTTTAAAAATAAAAACCTTTATTGGTTTGGGAGGTATTAGGTAATCAATTGAATATTTTGAAGATCAACAAATAAATAAGGAGGAAAAATCAAGCTTCTCAAGTTCCTCTACAAACTGTAATTTAGTGTCAGTAAAAAGTTGCTGAGATGAAATTTCTCTTGATAGAATATTCTAGCTAATAAATTAAGAAGAAATAATAGAATTAGGGTATAACCAGTTTGAAACCTCTAGTGAAATCCTCTAGGCAAAGATCACCAATGGCTGATAACATCACAGCAAAAAATGTCATGTGCCTCCTGATGGAAGAATATCCTGTGTAGTAAGCAGAAAAACATCCCCCTACCTCACTGATATCCACATCCTAATCTCAGAACTCATGAATATGTTACATTACATTAGGGAAATTAAGATTGCAGATAGAATTACAGTTGCTGATCTGGTGATTTTAAAATGGGGAGATTATTCTGGATTATCCAGATGTGCCCA